CAACCCCCAACATACCCCCAACCAACCCTAACCAACCTCAACCATTTCTCCATCAATATATTATTTTAGGTCACCAGTTTTCAATGCATTATATAAAAGACGATGAGGCGACCGACATTGTGTTTCCCTGCCACCACTTATTGTTCATCCTACCACCACTTATTGTTCCCCCTGCCACCACTTATTCTTCCCTCTGCCACCACTTATTCTTCCCCTTGCCACCATTTATTGTCCCCCTTGCCACCACTTATTGTCCCCTGTCACCATTTATTGTTCCTTCTGCAACCACTTATTGTTCCCCCTGCCACCACTTTGTTCCTCTGCCACCACTTATTGTTCCCCTACACCACTTATTGCTCACCTGCCACCACTCACCCAATCCTGCCACCACTCCTCTCTCCCTACCACCACTCACCCACCTCTGCCACCCTAACCACCCTATCCCTGCCACCACCCACCTCACCCCACCACCACCCATATCCCCTGCCACCTCACCCATCCCTGACACCACTCACCCCACCCTACCACCACTCACCCATCTCTGCCACCACTCACCCTCCTACCACCACTCACCCACCTCACCACTCGCCCTATCCCTACCACCACTCACCCACTCTGCCACCACTCACCCACCCTCACTCACCCACTCCACCCACTTTACCACCACTCACCCACTCCTACCACCAATCACCCACCCACCTCTGCCACCACTCACCTCTCCCCTGCCACCACTCATTGTTTACATGGTCGTTGGTTATAATCTGTATTAGTGGTGCTCATTAATGATATAATTACCGTCTCTTTCCAATCATCATCACAAGGGAGGAGCGTTAATTTAAACTAATAGTGTTGTTATGAATATTATGTTTCATCATTAATTGTGGTTACGGCCGTGTTTATTGGGCCTTTACCCCTCTATACTGCTGCTAGGAGATGGTTTACTGAGGCGTCTCGGAGCTACACACACGAGAGAGAGAGAGAGAGAGAGAGAGAGAGAGAGATCACATTGGTCGCCAGCAGACATCAGCGAGGGCCATCACTTGTCACACTCAGTTATTGTTCACTTGAGACAAAAACCAGGAACTTGGCGCTTACAAATACCTACACTAGAGGGCGCTGCCAAGTGATGGTTCCCGTGGGAGTGTTGTCATGGTCTGGTGTTAGGAAGTAGTGTAGGTCTGGGTGGGCAGGTCTCATCCCCTGCAGGCCGTTTTAGTCTGGTCGAAAATTTACTTCTCAACCCCTAGAACCTTGAACTCTAAACTCCGGAACCTTGAATTCTGAATCCTTGAATCCGGAACACCGACCCTGGCTCCTTGAACCCCTGAACCCGGAACACCGACCCTGGCTCCTTGAACCCCTGAACCCGGAACACCGACCCTGGATCTTTGAAGTCTGTAATGAAACATTTATATATAGGACTTGGTACAGTAATGCATTGATACGGGACTTAAAATACAATATAAACACCTTTGTAGTTTAGGTATTTTTAACCCTTTTCCTAGGGGTCAAAGGTCACTATCTGATCATGTTAGGCTGAGTGAAGGGGAGGGGGAAGGAGATGTGTTCTTTGTAAATTTCCTGCTTGAGTCACCATTTTCGACGGGTGTGGAAGAGTTGCGTCTGTTCTCATGAGACATCAGCTTCCGGGAACTTGTTTGGGTTGTGTGAGAGATAAAATTAAGTTTTTTGGTGATGTTTGTTGCCCCGTGAGACATCTGCCACTGTGAAGAACGTGATTCAGTGTTCTAAACTCGTCTTGGGTTGGAGATGAAGTCACGCGAACATCTGACATCAGCTGTAAGCATGCCTGGCTCCAGTGTATATGGGTGACGTCAGATGCTATTGTTATCATCATCGTAAACTGGAGGTGGTCCTTGTGCATGGTGGCTCTGGTGACGAGCTAGAGTCGTCACCAGTACCAAGTATATCTAGGGAAGAGGCCGACCCACCCCCCAACCCTTACCCCTCTACCTACCAACCCCCTCACCCCAACCCCGACCCCCTCACCCCTACTAATTCTGGCATTTTCTTCTCCACAAACATTTATTCAACCACTCATTTTTATTACTCCCCCTCCCCACCACCCGTAGGCTATATAGTGTTACGTCCTTCACCGCACCTGTCAGTCCTGTCGTGGATATCTAAATCGAGAGAAGGCTAAAGGGTTTCCCGGTCTTATTTTACCGTGAGTTGTGGCTATTGTGAGAACTGTGTGGTGGTGGCAGTGACAACCGTGATGAGTGAGGAACAGTGACAACACCACAGTAATACCTTAAGGGCAAGATTTACCAACATTTAAAGACGCAAAGATTATCCAGGTGCAGTGTGTTATTATTATTATTATTATTATTATTATTATTATTATTATTATTATTATTATTATTATTATTGTTCTTTCTATAATACCTGGTTCAATATTTACCTGCTCACACATATTACACCTTCCCGTTGTTCATGTGCATGTATAGTGAGGGTGGGAGGTGGCCTGCTTGTAACGAGAAGAGAGAACTATGTTGTGAGCTCAGAACGAGACACTCATTCCCTCACCTACACCACAATTTACTCACTCTAACATTCTTGGTTTATTTACTCTTATATACAGGGTCACTGAAAAGAAATTTGCCCATTTTTTTTATGTAGTATTATCTTTTAAAATTTAGATATTCTTTTTTAATGACCCTGTACAGATGTGGGTATTTTTTTTACTGACCCTGTACTGTATAAATTATAAACTCGTGTAGTGTTATCTGTCTTATCTTAACTGACCTCCCCCGACAGATAACCAATTACCGAGATCATTTTACTGTATTGGATTAGGAATATTATATATGAATTAACTTGATTGACGAGGTAGTTAAAGTTTTCTGTGCTTGTTAGCCAGGAGGAGGATGATGGCTGTTGGGAGTGCCATCATGGGGGTGTGAATCATTCTTTATGTGGCACTTGATGGTGTTCAGTGCCAGACATACACACCTGGTGGTATGTAAGCTGGGTCACCTGAGAGAGTTAATTTGTGTTGATTAAAAAAGTATTGGTGATATATTAGTAATAGTAATAAGTCTGTGGTTATTACAGTTTTGACGTGTGTGTGGGGGGAGGGGGCGCGGGATAAATAGGTCTCAAGGGCACTATCAGTTCACCTGTCTTAAGTGTGTTAGTCAGACCAGGTGACCCTGACATGTCATACTGCCATTTCTTCCTCACCTTAATGTTCTCCTCCCGTGATGCTGCCCCTCCCGCCCACCACCACCTTCACCTGCTGCCCTTCCACCTGACAGACGGAGGGAGGGAGGGGAGGGGGGGTGGTGGAGGCCAAGAGTTGGGTGTCTGGGGAGAGAATGAGGCCATGTGTGGAGGCCCAGATTCAGAGGGTTGGAGGGTAAAAGTTAGGGAAGTGAGTCGAGGTCGGGAGATATTTCGACTGCTAGCTTGTGTTGGTGTGGGGAGGGACCAAGGCTGCCCCAACTTGTACTTGTTCTCTATAATTTGTTTTAGTATCACCCCTTCACCCTCTCTCATCCTCCTCCTCCTCTCTTTTCCACCATCTCCTCTACCTCTCCCTCTTCTCCATCTCCTTCACCCTCCTCTCCTCCACCAACTCCTTCCCCTATCCTTCTCCCTCCTTTCCACCCTCTCTTCCTCCCACTTTTCCACCTTCTTTTCCACTCTTTCCTCCATTTCCTACCTCCCCTCCATCTCCTCCTTCCCAGAAATCATAACCTCACCAACTAACCCTGAACTTTTTTCCCCAGGACGACAAGTAATAAAGTCAACACTCACACTTGACAGACTCGAGTATTAGCTTCTGTCACCCGAGTATTTCCTGCAGCTTGGTGTTAGTGTTTACATAGAAATTACCATTGGTAGTAGTGCTTCAGATCCGTCCTTTAACTCTGATGACTGTTTGGGTTGGGTTGGGTTAGGTTAGGTTAGGTTAGGTTAGGTTAAGTTTCAAGAACATAATCCTGGCAAACTCGGTCCCATAAAATTTTAGGTTAAAATCAAGCTTAGTACACCATTACCTCATATAGTAAATCTGTCGGTGTTGAGAGAGAGAGAGAGAGAGAGAGAGAGAGAGAGAGAGAGAGAGAGAGAGAGAGCGCACTCAGGTGTTTGGTGGACGATGGTGGCTGATGTGATATGATGGATTATTATTGTTGTGGTCACTCTTTGTAGGTTTTGGAATCCTGCCAGTGTGTGTGTATGTATGTGTGTGTGTACAGTCGGCCACAGGAATAAGTACACACCTATGGTTCATGTTTGGAAAAAAAATATCTAGGTAACACTGTCTTGAACGGAGCCTGTGTTTATAGTGTAAGTAATATAGTACAACCAATGATATTAAGTTGCCGAATGGGACTGTAGTTGTCTTAAGCTCCCTTCCCCCTCCCCTTTCTCTCCCCTCCCCTCTCCACTTCTGTCTCCTCTCCCCCTTTCCCTACCCTCCCTCCTTCACTACTCTCCATTCCTTCCCTCATCCACTTCCACTGAGGAAATGCAACGATCGTATACATAATGCATTTGAACCCTACCATGACGCCTTAATTATTTATTATGGGTCATGCCCGGCAGCGAGGGTTGTTTCATAGTCAGTCAGCCACAACTCCGACAGAGCCTGACTCACACCTTCACCATATCACGTCTCACTTCCCTCTCCTCCACGCTCCGTATCACCAGTTCCCCACTCACTCCTAATACATTGTTATGATTGATTGAACAGTCCCAAATGGCAGTGAATGGCTTAAACCTTTTTTTTATGAATTATAACTGGATAAAGCAATTGTCATAAGAGACTCGCAGTGTTTCGAATTCTCAAACCGAACAGAGTTTCATGGTGCGTCTAGAGGGGCAGTTCCAGTGTTACCAGACCATGTGCCGACCTTACAGCTACAGTGTGTATTACTTATTCCTGAGGCCGACTGTACATAATGTATTCGTGTATACAGGAGTGTTCCCTATCTTCATTGTTGTCCTGATCATTGTCTCCTTATTTACAGGTATGTGTGAGCCAGAGGACCTGTAGGAGTACTCTTGTGACCTGCCTCGCTCCTAATACCCCCCTCCTCCTCCTGCTGCTGCCCTAGAACAGTAAGTTATTATTGTGTGTGTGTGTGTGTGTGTGTGTGTGTTTACCAGGCGTTATGGTGTTTACTGGTCCAGCAAATAAAACGTACGATAGTTTATTTGGCCTGCAGAACACCCTCGCCCCGCCCCCCTGCCAGATACACGATGTGTTTGTGTATTCTCCTTAACCTGCCAGATCATCCTCCACCACTCCATCTCCATCACTTCATCTTCTCCATCATTCCAGCACCCCATCTTCTTCAGCACTCCATCCTCTCCTCCACCACTCCACTCCCACACCTTCTCCATCACTTCACCCTTTCCTCTACCACCCCCTCATCTCCTCCAGCACTCCCTTCCACACTCCATTTCTCTCTCACTGACATCTATCACATTTTCTCTTCCTCCCCCTCTCATCCCTCTTCCTTCCTCTCCCCACACTCCCTTCCTGCTTGCTTCCTCTTACACTCGCTCTTCTTCCCTTCCCAACTCACCCCTTCTTCCTCCCACACACCCCTAGTCCTTATCTCCCCTTCACCCCTACTCTCTCCCCTAACCTACCTCCTCCGACCCCACCCACCTCCCCCCTCCTACAACCCCCTCCCCTCCCTACACGCACCACCCTCACCCAATATGATACGAGGGTGAGTCATTTTTGTGGGGTAATTTAGTAGCGTAATAAAACTGTTGATACTATTTTCAACACGATGAAAAACATTCCTGGGAAAAAAAAAACATGACTGTTTATTTTCCTTTTCGTATTTTTTTTCCTCCGCCTGTAACGACCCGTGTGTGGAGGGGTGGAAGGAGGGATAGTGGAGGGGTAGTGTAAGGATGGTGGAGGGGTGATGGAGGATTAGTGGAAGAACGGGTGGAGGGATGGTGGATAGAGGGAGGATATCTAGTGATGGAGGGATAGTGGAGTGGTGGAGAAGTGGACGATAGAAGGGAGAAGAGATGGATGATGAATGATGGAATAGAATGATAGAATGGTGGAGTAAGACAATAGAAGGATAGATGATGGGGGAGGAATAGATGATCAATAAAGAAAGGAATAAGTGGAATAAGGAAAATGCAATAAAAAGTAATTACCAAAACTAAAAAAAAATGTGAGGATAATGGACAACCTCTTTTTTTCCCCCTTAATTTTAATAGTTTGAGAGACGATGGACCTGGGGATTACACACACACACACACCTACCTGAGCAATTGCTGGATTATTATTATTAGTAGTAGTAGTAGTAGTAGTAGTAGTAATAGTAACAGTAGTAGTAGTCGTAATCGTAGTCTTAGTAGTAGTATTAGTAGTCTAAGAATGTGGTCGGCGCTTTATTCATCTTCCTCATCATAAGTTTGGTTAGGTTAGGTTAGGTAACAGACCTCCCTCGCAGCATCAGGTAACAGCAGGGAGGAGCCACCGCGTGTGTACAGCAGAGGGGGGGGGGGGTGAGACAGCAGCCCTCGTCATAACAAACATATCTATAAATATTGGACGCACAGAAGCACGACCCAGCAACACCTAGGCAACGACCAGCCCACGCACGACCACACCACCCCATGACCACACCACCCTATGACCACACCACTCTGAAGAACTACCCACATGTTAATCAGACACGGCTAAAACCACGACCACCTCCGACCATCTCAGGGAACGACCATCACGTGTTAATCAATCACCTTTAAACACGACAAACAAACGACAACCAGACTAACTTGAGTGTCGCCCCCATCGTACTCAGGAGGTCATCTTATCGTACTCAATAATCATGTCATCGTACTCATAGGAATCATACCTACAAAAATTAATTAAACACTGATTTTTATTTATTTATTTTTTTTACTTTGCAATGAATAAATTAATGTTTGTTATTCATTCTGTGTTAAAGGGCCACTACACGCACACGCACACACACACACACGCACACACACACACACACACACACACACACACACACACACACACACAGGGGGAGGCTTTGTTGTTTGGTTCTTTGTTTGTTTTTCTGGTTTTAGTTCTTATCAATGTTGTTGTTCTTGCTGTAGTTGTTGTTGTTGATCTTGTAATTGTAGCAGTTAGTGATTGTTGTAATATCAATTGTTGTTTTTGTTGTTATTTGTAATTATCTGGTGTTATTGTTTTTGTTGTAGTTGTTATTGGTGAAGTTGTTATTGTTGAAGTTGTTGTTTGTTGTGATGTGTTTCAACAGGTAAACACATCATACTCGGGACACACACTACTATATATACCGGTGTAGTTAAACAATAGGGTGGTGATATTTTACAAACTATAGCGTTAGCTGGTAAAAACAAAAATGGGGGGGATTTACGAAAGCTATTTTTACATCCATTATTTATTTATTTGTTTATTTATTTATTTATTTATTTACTTACTATAAGTTTTGTCCACGTGTGTTGTGGGGAGGTGGGGAATGCTGTGTTGAGGTCACGCTATCCTCCTCACTGCTACACAAGATGGGGAGGAACACACACACACACACACACACACACACACACACACACACACAAGAGCATCGTGTCAACTTTTAACCCTTGACATGATCCCTTAATGTGACTTGACCAGCAGTAGATAAAATGAATGTTCCACCTCCCTCCCCTCCCCTCCCTCCCTTCCTTCTTCTTCCCCCCTCCCTCCCTCCTTTTACCTCTCACTACGCCTATCTCTGCCTACCAGTCTTCTTGAGATAGTTGTAGTGGTGGTGGTGGTGGTGGTAGAGGCGGTGGTAGTTGTGGTGGTAGTGGTAGTAATAATAATAGTGGTAGTAATAGTAGTGGTATTGACGGTGGTAGTAGTAGTGGTGGTAGTCGTCCTTCGCTGCTCGAGTACCACCTCGACCACACACCTCACCCTCCAGATACTAACACTTGAAGACATTAAGTTAATTATATCATTAACTTTATTTTAATTATCCTAACGATACAAAAAAAAACCCTACTAAATCACTTTCTTGTTATTTCTTGTAATTTGTTGTGTGGTTTACGTTACCAGTTCGTGGAGGGGAAAGGGTAACAGAGGAAATTGGAACACGAATTCTATAAATGCCTTTGTGCAGTCGGTATAAAAAAAAATGTTCCCCGTTGGCGTATTGGCCATCATAGGTAAAGTGAATGTCCAGGGTGATAAAACTAGCTAAAAGCCCTCCCTCCCTGCCTGCCTGTCTCTCTCTCTCTCTCTCTCTCTCTCCCTTTCCCTAATTCCCTTCACCTCTCTCTCTCTTTCTTTATTTCACTCCCCCCCTCCCTCCCTTCCACTCCTACCTCCCTCTTGCCCCTCCTATCCCATCCTCTCTCCCTCCCCCCCTTCCCTCCCTCTCTATCTATGCATCGCTTCCCCGTCCTGGTAAAAATTGTTGTGTGTTCAGTGAAGCGTTGGGCGTGACTGCTGCAACCCTCCACCGTGATAGTAATTGGTGCATAGCTGTTAAACTCACTACCGTAGTCTCTGTTAAACCCATGGGCGGTGTACGTGGTGTGGGCGTGAGTAACGGACTGTGGTGTACTTGGTGGTGTGGGCGTGAGTTTTCTGGGTTACATAAATCATAAATGTCACTCAAATATATAAAAAAAAATCAATAGTTTCTTTCATTTTCAGGAATCTTTTATATTGGACATAAAAATCTGCCCCAATATTGGAATTTTACCAAACTCGTTACCATTGGGGGTCAGCGTGAAGTAATGGGTTATAATTTTCATGAGCAGGGAATATGTAAATAGTGACGTCAGCTTAATATAGTTATTTGACCTAAAAATGTTTGTTACTAATGAATAAAGTTTTAATTTTCACTGACGAAAATTAAATTTGGTCCTTTTTTTTAAGATGTGATGTGGAAAAGGCAATTTTTTATATATATGCTTCCATCACCTTCATTTCTGTGCTTTGCTAAATAATAAAAAAACAAAATGCAAAAATCAAGAAATTATTAAAAAAAAATCGAATGAATTTGTAATTAGTAACGAGATTACCAACTTATTATATTTTATCAAAGTTATTAATCAAACATCACACCATTTTAAGAAGGACCGTGGCTGAGTGGTTACAGTGCTCGACTCCTATCCTGAGAGAGTTCACTGGTTCACTTCCGGGGCACCACATAGTTCATCCAGCTGTGAACGGGTACCTGACTTCTTTTTTTTCTGTTTGGGGGAAGTGAAGACAGACGAATGTAGTACCGTCCATACTGTCTTCCCCATACTGTCTTCCCCATACTGTCTTCCCTTGTAGCTGAGGCTTAGTATCCACACGTCACCTCTCATTTTCCTGTCCATTGTAATTTTCTAGATATTAATAAAAATATATTTCCCTGTAATTTTCCATGGTGGATAAATGAAGAATCGTAAAGGAACCTAGTATAATAAGTGATGACGTCATAAAACTAGCATAATACCTCTGATGACGTCATAAAACTAGCATAATACCTCTGATGACGTCATAAAACTAGCATAATACCTCTGATGACGTCATAAAACTAGCATAATACCTCTGATGACGTCATAAAACTAGCATAATACCTCTGATGACGTCATAAAACTAGCATAATACCTCTGATGACGTCATAAGACTAGCATAATACCTCTGATGACGTCATAAAACTAGCATAATACCTCTGATGACGTCATAAAACTAGCATAATACCTCTGATGACGTCATAAAACTAGCATAATATATCTGTTGACGTCATAAGACTAACATAATACCTCTGATGACGTCATAAAACCACGAATATAGAGATAGATAAGACACAAAGATAATAATAAGAGTAGAAGATTATAAAGGTAAGTGTGTGTGTGTGTGTGTGTGTGAGGAAAGAGCTGGTGTAAGCTCCGTCATAAACTCATTGCCTCCTACCGTCTCCTCCTCCCCCCCCCCCTCCCCTGACCTCCTCTACCTCCCCGGGGCCAGAAGCAGGCATTATGAACGGTTGTGGTGCTGCAACATTATATGGCGGCCTGGGGTCTGAATTCTTACATTACCCACCACCATTACCACCTACCCTATCACCCAC